TGCGGTCTACGCAGGTAATGTAATTAACATGCGGTCTACGCAAGTAAAGAAATTGATTACAAACATGCGGTCTACGCAGGTAATGTAATTAACATGCGGTCTACGCAAGTAAAGAAATTGATTACAAACATGCGGTCTACGCAGGTAATGTAATTAACATGCGGTCTACGCAAGTAAAGAAATTGATTACAAACATGCGGTCTACGCAGGTAATGTAATTAACATGCGGTCTACGCAAGTAAAGAAATTGATTACAAACATGCGGTCTACGCAGGTAATGTAATTAACATGCGGTCTACGCAAGTAAAGAAATTGATTACAAACATGCGGTCTACGCAGGTAATGTAATTAACATGCGGTCTACGCAAGTAAAGAAAATGGATTATAAACATGCGGTCTACGCAAGCAAAACATGTTATTCACGATGCTGGAATGCAAAGTATTGTAACACAGCATGATCAAATCGGTTTTGTAGGATTCACAAGATATGACAAGGATACGGGACGGAATGTCCTCCGTATGGATCGAGCATCGCCCGCAGAAGTTATGGCCTGAGGTCAACTCGAAGGTTCACGTTTCAAAAGTGTGCGTTCCCGTATTGTGAGGGCGTCAAACCATGTGGTTGACCCGATCAAGGGTACGGAGGGTGCGTTGACCGCAAGGGAAGTTTCACTGGTATCAATTCCGACACTTTGCTACCCTGCCAATCTATGCTTTACTTTCCTTTTTACTGGTAGTTTAAGCACATTGCACTGCCTCGGGCAGTTTTTATTTTTTTTCAAAACTACAAATTTTGCGAAACATGTGACGGGAATGAAACAACCATTTTGTTCAGAAGATGTTGTATTTGTAAACATTCTGTGCATCGCATCGCAAGGTATCACACGACAATGTGAATGAAATTGAACTTATTTTGAACACTGAAAATTTGCATCGAAATAATCAGGTAGTGAACCGACTTACAACTCGATAAGCAAAACAAAGACATGATGTCACCAATCAAGTGTGAGTACAACTCGATAAACAAATCAAAAGCTCAAAAAGAGTGAAATACAACTCGATAAGCAAATGTACAATATCTTGACAAGCGGACAGGCATGACTCCGCGAGAATTGATCGCCGGGAGAGGGATCAGAGGTGGTGAAGTTCCCCAATGCCTAGCATAAACAGCTCAGGGAACCAGGGGGAAGCTCACCGGCCAAGGGTATAGACCACCGGCTGCACGGAATGGCCACCGGCCATAAAATTTCTCGGTCGGCAAAATATAATGGTCGGTCGACAAAGAGTTTGGCCGGCCGGCAGCTAATGAGGGAATCATCAGAATGTTGACACCTGTCCTCCACCCAACCTTATCTCCTACAAGAGACCCTAACTTCGTAGTTTTTCTCAATTCCACACTGATTTGCTCTAATGGAAGAGTTTCTTGCTCAAAAACTCACAGATTGGATTGCTAGCTTGGATGGCTCGGAAAAATTGAATTTTCGGGGTTTCGGCCTAAGCGCACTATTCACTTTGGGCCGTACCCCATTGCACCTCCCGTTTCTTCATGCCGCGGCAAGGTTTTGGAATCCGGTGATGCATGTCTTTAGCTTCGCTGGGCAAGAGATATGTCCTACTTTTGAGGATTTCCGAGCCTTAATGGAATCCGAGCGCGACGAGGAGATTCGGCCCCAACTTAATTTCGGCCATGCCCAATCCTTAGGGCGAATGTGTGGACTCAGTATACGTGACGCTCGGTCTCTGATTTATGACGGGATGCTGGACATTCCGAGTTTGATCGATCGGTTTTCTGATGCCAGCGATCGCAACGACCATCATTGGCAAGGCTTCTGGCGACACGCCCTCTGTTTGTGCATGCTATCTCGTTTTCTGTTTGTCTCAGGCTCTGGAAGGTCTAGTGTCCGACTGACCGAGGTCGCCCAAGGTTTGAAGGAGGGTAAGAGCTATATTGCCATGACTCTGGCTGAGACGTTGATGGGCTTAGACGCCTTTTATCGTCATGAGACGACCAGATTAGCAGGGAGTCCACTACTACTACAGGTAATATTTCCCACCCAATCTCACATATATGCATTGCTCACATCACTCGGCCCTCAAGCTCGGTTTTTTCTCACAAAACCCTATTCTCACTATTCTCTCCTCGTACATCTCTCTATTCTTTATTCTCTCATTTTTCATCCCTTCCCAGGTATGGTTGATGGACAAACTGCAGGTTGTGGACTCTTGCCCAGCGTATTCAGCTCGCGGCTACTTCTTTCGGCACCGTCTAGTCAATGCCCTGGACGAAGGATGGTAGTCCGCTTGGATGTGCCATTTGTCTGCAGACCGTATTGCTTGGCGTTGCCCTTGGCTGAGCCTTCCAGCGATGAGTTACAATATGCCCCGGCAGACTGGGATTCAATTGATTTGTCTCACTCACTGTGTATTCTACTTCCCATTTCGGATTCGACGTCAATTTGGCCATGATCAGACCTGCCCGCCAGAGGGGATAGAGTATCCTGCCGCATTCCCAACCCGAGGCGCACAGCTTGCTTGGCAGGCCACCGCATGGAGGATGAGAGGACTCCTGGCCCCCGCTCCTACTTTCAGTTGCACTTTGTCTGATGAGTGCTTGGATTGGCTAACATGGTGCACAGGTAAATTTTTTTCTTCCATTCAGGTGCTTTACATGTAGAACAAAAGTGTAAGGATTCTTTTGTTTACTTAAGCATGAATGAATAATGAGGGAACAAGTAGAATTTTAGAAGAATGGCAGTTGATTATGCATGAATTGAGCTCAGGGTGAGTAAAAACATTCATTAATGTCCATCCATTTGATAGAAAATTTGCTGAACCTAGCAAAAATTCATCTCTTATGCTTTGATTGTTTCGGCGGAAAATATTTTTTGGAAAATGTTTTTCTAATTTTCTGGCGGTTAGTATGATAGAAAACGAAAGTTAAATGGAAAATGTTTTCCATGGTCAATAAAAACAAGCATTTGTTAGTGAAAAACGCTTTACATTTTTGAAGGTGGAAAATTTTTCCCCAAAGTGTAAAACATTTTTCGGTCTAAAGTCTTATCAACACCCCCATCCTACCACCACCCCCACTACAACCAACACCACCACTAATACAACCACTAGTACATTAGTTTCAAGTTGCAATCAAACATAGGAGATCATTTTTTTAGAGAGAACATTTTATAGAAAAATAATTTTCGTAGAAAGGCTTGGCTCATAAGGTGAATTAGTTAAATCTTACCTTGTAGAAATGTGTAAAGATTACTAGTGGCGGTAATAACAAATAGGGCAATTTTTCCATCGGCACCTATGAATAATACAAGATAAAATAACAAATGAGAATGAAAATTATCCATTCGTTATTAAGGGAAAATGAAATATTTGAAACGAAAAGACAAAGAATGAATTGAGAAACAGAGCAGTGTGTTTAATCAATAATGTATTGGTTATTTTAACATTCACAACAAACTGGAACTCCTTTACGCTGTGTTTGGTTGGAGGATTTGAGGAATGATTTGGAAAGAGAAAGGGAAAAGTTAGGTGAAATGTGAATTTAATATACTTACATTTCATCTAGTTTCACACACATTTTCTCTTTTCTTTTTCAAATTTCTCCTCAAATCTCCCAACCAAACACAGCATTAAGATTCAAAAGAAGTAGATACTAAACTCTCAGTTTTGATAAAAATCAGAGATGATATTGGTAATGAAAAAATAAATATTTGTTTGTTTGTACCTTGCAGTTGGCTGCTTAATCTACTAGTAATTCTACTTGAGGAATATATTGGATGATGGGCCAATATTCTTTCCCCCTTTCACACTTCTGTTTCAATATTGGACTACATCCACCGATCATCAGTGACAAAAGCGAGGGAGGGAAGCCTTGTTTTGGAAAGGTTGCAAGCTCAGGACAATTAGAGATCCATAGATGACAAAGAGAGGGAGGCAACCCTTCCTTTGGAAAGGACGCGAACCTAGGGCAAAGTGCGATATGAAGTCTTTGGAGAGAGGTGAGGTTTTGAAACCCCTCGTAAGAGAGACTTTCTAGATTTGGGAAGTCGAAGATGGACGAATTGATGAGAGAGGTGGGTAGGAACATCCCTTCTTCTGAAAAGGACACAGTATCTCCCCATGGCCAAGCTGGGCCTTCAAGTACGAGTGTTGTAAGAGAAGAGAGTTTGTGCAAACCCCACTCTAATGGAGACGGAGGCAGAAGTGGAAGTTGACCGACGTCGTCCACTCTGAAATTCCCGATTTGAAGTGAAGTGATGTTGGTGGGGAAACTCCCTTCCTTGACAAAGCAGGAGACCATTTCTGCTCTGCTATATAAGCATAGCTTTTGAAGCGAAGTGAGTTGCTTGGTGTTGTTATTCTCATCACGGCCACCAAGTGATAGGGGCTCCAGTTTAGGACACCATCTTATCAGCAATTCTCTGAGATTCTTGAGATTATTGGCTTCAGGTAAAGATTTTAACCCTTCCTCTGCAAAAAGTGACTCCAAATTTATGCACACCTCTATCCGAAGTTGTTTTAGTGTGGATGGTAGCCCACCTCTTGACAATAAATATGTGAGTGATGAACAGTTAGAAACCTGCAACACTTGCAGATTATTGAGTGTCATCAACTCAGGTAGGGACTCCAAAGCATCACAACTTGAAACACTAAGTTCTCTCAGCATAGATGGCAAACCTTTCAATGGAAAAGAGATCAGACTTGCACAACGGTCGATTCTAAGCACCCCAAGAGATGTGTATGTGTGCAAATCTTGTGGTAGTTTCTTCAGCATTCCACACTCTTCAATTGTTAAATACTCGAGTCTCGTCATGCAAGGCAGCCCCTCATGTTGCTGCTTTTTCAAACCTTCTCCTCCTTTTTCTTGCGCTTCTTCAAACAAGAAAACGAGTTTGGGGCAATGAGAAATCTTCAAATTGTAGAGGGAAGGGAGACATACTTGTATTCCCACCTTATTCCACCACAATGTTATGAGTTCTTGGCAGTTACTAATGTCCAATTTCACAAGTCCCATCAAATATTCCCACCTTATTCCACCACAATGTTATGAGTTCTTGGCAGTTACTAATGTCCAATTTCACAAGTCCCATCAAATTTCGAGTAAACCATGTCGGTAGGAACGCCAGTTTTTTAACATGAGAAATGCTCAAAGTAGTTATTGAAGTCAAATGCTTAGACATTTCATTAGCCAGTAACTCTTCATCAGTTGTGCTTGGATCGCAGAGAGAGTCAAGAACTGTAACATGTCTAATATCCAAGGTGAGAGAACCAAGTTCAATCATGTTTTTCGTCCCTAAGAGTGCTGAAAGGATTGGGAGCATAACATTATTCATTGACAAGGACGCAAGTGATGGGTGAACGAGGCTGGAAACATCAATCAATAACTGCGGAAAACCATCAATTTTGAGAGAATTGAGACAAGGAAGATCATTTGGTAATCTTCCAACAAGTTGGGGACAATTTTTTATGGAAAGCTCACTGAGATGACCGAATGGCTGAACTCCCTCTGTTTCAAAAGTAGACCAGTCCTCCGATTCTGGCATAAACTCAAAGCTCAATCTCTCTAGAGATGGGAAAGGTTTGGCACTACACTGCTGCCCATAGAACTCACAAACCAAGCGCTTTATTGCACTCATTCCTTCAATGTAAAGGTCTTTAAGCAAGGGTAGTTGTCCAAGTGGTGGAAAAGTTCTGCAACATTTGCTACCTTTTAATCACATGAACACCATTTTGGAGAATGAAGCATCTCCAACCCAGTTTGGAAATTTTGTACTGCCATACCCACTGATGGTGAGTCGTTCCAACAATTTGAAAGGTCTCATCATGTCAAGCACATCCCTCTCAACTATGTCATTCTGCGAACGGTGAGATTCATCCCATTCTAGCAATAACTCTTTTAACTCCTCCTTAGACATAAAATTGGCATCCCTTGCATCCTTAACACCACCGACATTCTCCAATCTTGATATGTGTATTGCCCCTCGAATGTTCGATAGGTTTTTCAACTCTCCTATTTTACGCCCACAATCTTTACCCACCATAAAATTTGACAATGTTTGGAGATTAGTTAATTTACCTATATGTAGCGACATCTCTTCTGATGATGGAATATCCACGCCAGTCATGTCAAAATGGCGCAAGTTCACTAGCCTCCCCATCTAACTTCAGCTTGAGAGTGATTTAGCTCGCCATATAACCATAATGAACATGAGGCCCTTCAGCATTATATCAATCTCTATTTTGCAGAAGAATCATCCCACAAGTTGATAGCCATAGAATGAGGAATAATATTCTCAGCCTATACGACAGTAATGGAATGAAATTAGATTAGATAAATGAGTTTAAGGCTTTGACAATATGTATGGTGTAGATATATTATGTATGTCCACATACATGATATATGTATTTCTGTCTTTTTCCCCTAGACAATTTTATACTTGACTCCATAGTTTTTTTATTTTATTTTGGCAGGTATTATGTTCCAAGGTCCAAACTAGCATTTTGCGCTGCGAACATCTACTAAACTGAACACAGAATCAAAACTTTGTTTAAGTAAATGAGTCACTCAATAGTTGTCCTCTCTAGAACAAAAATAAAAATAAAAATTAGCATTTCAATACAAAAATGGAACCACTCAATAGTTCTCATCTTGGAAATTTGAAAGGGGGAACAAATACTGAAAAACCATTGAGCTAAATCATTGATGAGGTCATGTATAATGAATAGGAAATCGTAATCACTTGAGGATTGAAAATATGACCTTGATACCAATTCTTGAAAATTCTTGCGACCTAAGTCTTCCATTTGCTCTTGACCATTTGATTACTCAATTAAACCTTCAGCCATCCATAGCAAGACTAATTCCTCCTCCATGAATTCGTAGTCCTTTGGGATAATTGCACAGTAGGAAAAGCACCTCTTCAAATGGACAGGGAGATGAAGGTAGCTCAATTTCAATGCTGTGAGAATGCCACTTTCCTCATTCCATATATTGTTGTTTAGTATCTCTTTCCATTCATGTTCTTCTTGTTTACAGCACAATAAGCTGCCAAGGGCCCTCGCTGCCAAGGGTAAGCCTCTGCACCTGTTCTCAACAATTTTCTTACCAATTGATTCCAATTCTTTGTGTTCCTCAATATTTCTGTTCTGAAATGCATGTTGGGAAAAGATTAACCAACAATCACCATACGATAAGTTGTGCAAATTGTGATATTTATCCATTCCCATCTGCTTTGCAACACCTCTGTTTCGCGTTGTCACAATGATTTTACTTCCAGGTGCTCCAGCTCCAAATGGGGATTGTAACAAATTCCACCCATCATGTCCATAGTCCCACACATCATCTAGGACAAGCAAAAACTTTTTCCCTGCCAAAGTTTTGCTAAGTTGAACTTGAACCTCATTTAAGTTACTTAAATTACATGAACCGTGAGTGAACGACTCGAGAATTGCCTTTGTTATTCTCATTACTTCAAAGTCATCAGATACACATACCCATGCTTTTAGATTGAAATGATTTTCCACTCGGCCATCATTGTAAATGTGCTGAGCTAGTGTAGTCTTGCCGATCCCACCCATGCCTACAATAGGAATTACATCAAAAAAAATTCCAGTAGATGCATCCCCAAGTAGCAATTCCATAATTTGCTTGATGTCTTCATCTCTGCCATGAATGTGAGGCTCCTTCAAACATGTAGTTTGTGATCTCTGCCATAGATCTGTGGACATCCTCCCAACAAGTCTTTTATCTAAACCAATATCTTTTCCTTTTGTAGCAACTTCTTGTAATTGACTAGTAATCTCATTTAGTTTTGACCCAGTTTTTAAATTGAATGGAACAATAGAAGAGAGACGTGGAAACTTAGCTGGTCTTCTTCCCATCGTCGTCTCCTCCGCCATTAGCTTCCTTTCAAGATCTTCAGTGGCAAAATCATCCAATATGTCATCTGCATCGTAAGCCAAATGGTAAACCTCGTCAAGCCACTTTTTGATATCCTTGTGGTATATCTGTTTGTTCTCTGCATCAGCCAACTGAGTCTCTAAATCCTCTAATGCCTTCTTTAGATTCTGGATGCCAGTGCCAACGTCCGATGTGCTCATTAAGTTGCTAAAAAAAGAGGACAATTTATCAACCATAGCTTGTACGAATGGAGAGATAAAGATCCCAAATACATCCATGGTGCTTGTTCTGAAAGAAAGAAAGGTAATGAAACCAAGCAACACAGATATCAAGAACAGACTGACGACCCTCTGCAAACTTGGAACAGACTTTGGTGGTAAAGGTAAGAAATTGAGACACAATGAAACAATACACGGATCAAGAACAGGCAGAACCTCTAAATGTGTAGTGGCTGAAGATTGTAAGTTGTGACCAAAAGCAAATGAGGAAGTAGTGAAAGAAGGGGTATGAAGAAATTAGAAGTCAACAATAATGGAGTCTCATCTCATTGGTCATTTTTCCAGTTTTGTTTGCTACCTACTTTTTTATTAATTTCTCTGTATATGTGATCAGAAAGAGATAGGAATAGAGAGAGAGGCCGGCCTTATATGAATAATGTTTAATATTGCTGAATTTTTATTTCTCCTTGGACTTCTTGGTTTCTAGCCTTTTTTCAATTTATTTTTTAAATCATTTTCTAGTTCTTTTATGGATTAGGTACAAATGTAAGAGTATTATGAAGCATAGGCTCACTAATTATTTATATTCCATCATAAGTGCCTCTATAATAATCAAACTTCTGAAAAATTAAACATTTAGGTTGTGTTTGGTTCATGGATTTGGGAAATAACACTTAGCGATCAAATTTTGAAAATTTCACTTATAAAAGTATATTTAGGGACAAAAACAATTTCCTACCAAAAGGTTTATTTTTGTGATGAAAATTTTGGTTCCAAAATGATAGTAATTCATTACTTGATTTTCAATTTCGTTGCTAAAAATATAACAATGACACTTTTGGCAACTAGGATAATTTGTCCCTAAATTTTTCTCTCTAATATGGGCAAGTTCAGATCAAGGGAAGAAATTAGTCATAGCATATAAATTTTATGGAGATTGTTAGAATCCCAAATATTGAGAGTTTTGCCTCTGCAACTATCAAGACATAAAATAAATTAGTCATGTAGACTTATGTCTCAAAGTAGCAAGCTCCCACAGAATGACACCAAGCTATATATATATCTCACCAGCAGAATTAACACAAGACACAAAATAAATTTCCAAAACAAATTAGTGGGTTGCCACTATATGTGGATCCTCCACATCAAAAATCCGAGAGACTACAACAGAAAGGATATCCATTCTAGATTAATGTGTGTAATCTAGGTAAGTATCTTGAGGCTTTGTCTCAAGTTGTTGCCTCTATTTAAAACTTCCTCTTCTAATGAGCTAGATGTCCAATGGCTAGTAGCCACAATACATATGGGATTTATTTCATTAATCAACAGTAAACCTTTGCAGCCACAACTCAACTAAAAGGAGCACAAAGATAATGAACCATACTAATTTCATACTTCTTACTTCTATGACGACGTCTATGTCCTACTAGAGAAAAAGAACTTTCAGACAATCCTAACAACAAACGTGTGTCCTAAAAAGATTTATTCAATCAAGAAAAGCCTCAGCAATTATATAATCAAAGATGAAAAAATTGTGGTCATTCTACCTATGTATAGGAATTGAGAAATTGAAGGACTGCCTATTGAGAAAGTTTTGAATAGAAGGCTGCCATTCCATGTTACTTGTAAAGAATATTTCCACAAAATTGGGGGTAGAATTGGGTTGTTAAAATATTTTGTCAAATGAAAATGGATTTTTCTTCTTTCAGATTCAATTCAATAAGGAGCTAATAGACCAAGTCTTGGATAGTGGTTCTTGGCATTTTGCAAGAAAATGGAAACCTAATACATAATTGTTAAAAGAAAATTTGAAGAAGGTGCCAGTACATGCACTGTTTTGTAATATATCCTTAGAATTTTGGACTGAGAACAGAAAGGACTCAATAACATTGCTAGTGCCATTTGCAAACCTTTTTATTATGGCAGACATACCAAATCTTGCAAGAGATTTATCTTTCCAAGAATTTGCAATTGAGGTGGGTTTTATTTTATGTTTTCGACGAAAATAAAGTTGCAGTTCTCCAATGTTGATACTTGGGTTAAATCAATCAAATATCCTTGGAAACCCATTGGATACACTAATGTTGTGTTTGATTGGAGGATTTGGGAAGAGATTTGGAAAGGGAAAGGAAAAAAAGCCAGTACATGCAATGTTTTGTAATATATCCTTAGAATTTTGGACTGAGAACAGAAAGGACTCAATAGCCCTGTTTGGTAGAGCTGTGGGAAAGTGCTTATAGCTTATACCTTAACAGCTTATAACTTATAACTATGAACATAAGCTGATTTCTGACTTATAAATTAAGCTTCTCCTGTCCCACTCAAAGAATAAGCTGATTTCTGACTTACAAAAAGCTATAAGCTATAAGCTTAAGCTAAACCAAACACATCAAAATAGCTTAAATTAAGCTGAAAGCTGAAATAAGCTGAAAAAAACTGTACCAAACAGGGCTAATAACATTGCTAGTGCCATTTGCAAACCTTTTTATTATGGCAGACATACCAAATCTTGCAAGAGATTTATCTTTCCAAGAATCTGTAATTGAGGTGGGTTTTATTTTATGTTTTCGACGAAAATAAAGTTGCAGTTCTCCAATGTTGATACTTGGGTTAAATCAATCAAATATCCTTGGAAACCCATTGGATACACTAATGTTGTGTTTGGTTGGGGAATTTGGGAAGAGATTTGGAAAGGGAAAGGAAAAAAAATAGGTGAAATGTAAATAAAATATACCTACATTTCATATAGTTTCACACACTTTTTCCCTTTCCCTTTTCAAATCCTCCAACCAAACACAACCTAAATGCAAATAGTTTGGACATAACGAAATGAAATGCTTTGTCGGAAATAAAATGAAAAGCAGTGGAAAATAAAATCAACAAATGACAATCCCAAAAAGGAAGAGTGGGTCATTATTACTTAGAAAATAAAAATATATAAAAAAAATTGAAATCGAGGAAAAGATGGATATTGGGGAAAGCTCAGACACTATTTTTGAAGAAATTTCAAAGAGAAGGGATTGTCAAATACAAGGTGCTATTAGGTAAGCCTCTCATTTTGTCACATTGATGATATTTATTAGAACCTATTGGTTAATTAAATAATGTGAACAAAATAATTGGCTTTAAGGTAGATTAGAAGGGGAATGATGCATATTAAAATGCTTTCCAAATTGAGCACACATTATAGAAGTGCATGCTTACGAAGTGGTATAATTACTTGATGCTAATTAATGAACCAAGCTTATAACTAAAAGACCTGTCAATAATACCCATTCTTGATTTGAAAACAATAAACACAGAGATGTTTGGAAATTCATAAATGAGAATAAAATGAGAAAGAAAGAGATAATCTTACACTGTTTTCTTTTACTTTCCCTCCACAAATACCCCCTTAAATCCTTTATCCAAACACAACTTAAAAGTTTCAGAGTTGCAAACCTCTGAACAATTATTACTTGCAGAGTTGAATTTCTGGATAATAATATGAAGTTTTGTTTTGTATCCCCCCTTGGGATGAAGATACTCCCAAAGTAGTCGAAGATGAGTTCTTGGCCCCTATAGGTTCAGATACTTGTCCTCCTTTTGTTACTTTGATGCTTGACATTGAATTGAGAAAACTTTCCAATTTCTCTAGTTTTTGGATGAGACATGGGAATATCAAGTAGATTCCTCAAATTTTTGAAAATTCAAATAGTGACGTGTTCTCAAGTGTTGAGAAATGAGTCCTAAAATTAAAAGACTGAGTCTGTTTTTAGAGAGTTAAACAAATTGCTCTAACTTCAGCTTGAGAGTGATTTAACTCGCTATATAACCAAAATGAATAGGAGGCCCTTCAGCATTATATCAATCTCTATTTTGCAGAAGAATCATTCCACAAGTTGATAGCCATAGAATGAGGAATAATATTCTCAGCCTATACGACAGTAATGGAATGAAATTGGATGAAATAAATGAGTTTAAGGCTTTGACAATATGTATGGTGCTGATATATTATGTATGCTCACATATATGTATTTCCGTCTTTTTTCCTTAGACAAGTTTATACTTAACTCCATAGTTGTTTTTTTTTTTTTTTTTTTTTGTAAAAAAAGAAAAATAAAAAATAAAAAAAATTTGGCAGGTATTATGTTCCAAGGTCCAAACTAGCATTTTGCCCTGGGAACATCTACTAAGTAATTGCGCTTCTACATCATTTATACGATCAAGTAACAAAACATACTCTCTCTTAAGAATTCTCTTGAAAAGTGAATACCATGTGAACAATCAATTAGGCCATGTGGCACAGAGTAGAAGAAAGTTAAATTCTAATAAATCAGCAACCTAACCACCTACAAATGAAGATGTGTATCCAGGGACTTAAAACGAGGCTCAGGACTTCTTCTTTCATATGTATTCATGTTTCATTAAAGAAACTGCTACACTGCCAAAAAACAGCACTAATTTGCCCATAATGCACAAGTTAATAGCTGCAATAATTGATCAGTGGGACGTCTAATGGACTAGAGAAGTAGATAAAGCAGAAATTGTGTTGATTTAGCTATAATACAATCAAAATAGCTACAACTCCAATTGTTTATTAAGGCAGCAAGCAATAAAATACAGTAGAAGTATTGTGGTTTCTATAAAGAACAAATTAATTGTCTGATTACATTCCGTAAGTTGGAGTGCCAAAGAAATTGCAATAAAGTTGCGAATGCCGACAGTGCACGGAATGTTAACTGCTAAAGTGTGAGCAAGTTGAATGATGTTAGACCCCTTGCATATGTTAGGAAAAATATGTGATTCCCCACAAGTAAATCAATCAATGGGAATAAAAACTAATGTGGAAAAATTAAATCAAAGGCAACACAAGAATTTTTACGTGGTTCCCTCAATGTGAGGTACGTCCACGGGATCGAAATCCGATTCTACTATCAACCAAATAAAATTCCAAACGATTATAAAAGAGACATTGATGGTCTCACAAAACCACCCTTAGGTGAATTCCAAATAATCACAAATAAATAAGAGGAAAGGCCTCACCAAATAGATGAACCAAAATCTTCAGAACCAAAATT